GTAGATTGGTTTGCCCCCTCTCTTACCATTGCCCCTCACATAAAATGAAATGTGTTTTTTATATTGCATTTATAATTTTAATGGCATTTTTTGTGTTGAGTTTTTCATTTTCGCTGATTATATAAACGCATAATAACAGAGAGTGTCTGTGAAGTGGATACTAATGTTGAGCTCAATTTGGGATTTAATCATTTAATAACATTATAAGCGTATGTGTTGGTACAGTTAACTTTCGTTATTATGACCAAACGATGTCATTTTAGTGGAGAAATTAATTTTAATTTTAAAAATATGTGCAATTTTTAGTAACATTTCTATTGAACGCTTATAACTGTATGCCTTACAGTGCGTTACAGTTTTAGGTATTTTTACAATATAACATCGATCATGTTCATAATAGTTGACATATATCATATGTATATATTGTACATTTATATAAGTGTTTTATAGTGTATTTAATATCATGGTAAATATCTATCTCTCTTTCTCTCATCTCCCGGCTAATACTTAGCCCATATATACACTGTTATTACGGGTGGAAAATGTGTATATAAAAAATGAATGTGTCGTTCATTGGCACTGGTATTCCGATGCCATGTTATATATGCAGTACATTATATGTATGTCTTATCCCACTAACCGAAATGATTGCCAAAAGATTTTCTAGTATTTAATTTGAAATATTTCTTTTTCTCCTTCACTAATCTCTTCAATAAGTTTCTCAATGAAATTCAAAAACTGAAGAGTAAAATGAATTTGGAAGAGGAGTCGACCAAAGGTTCCCTCACTCTCACCAATCTTAGAGTCCCTCTAAAGGCCGACTTTCTGGTGGCGCGCGCTAAGCAAACCGGTAGACTCTCTATTAATGAATTAATTGAACAATTACTTACATATAATGATTGATTAGTTCCAGAAATGCACCACTTTATCTGCATTGTCTACAGTGGGGCCAATGTTTTCGTCACAAATGTATTGAATACCGACAAAGACCTCAAAAACGGTTTCTTAGATTTTGAGTTTGGCGTCCGTTTGCCTGAACTGAACAGTGATTTTTCAGTCATTGTCCACATCTATGACTTGATTACAATGAAGACACAGATTAAGAAGACCCCGAAGAAGACCCCGAAGAAGCACAAGTCGACAATGAAGTCGCCGAGTGTTCGCAGTCCCGGCGGACCCAACGCTGTGCTCAGCACTAGTTTCCAATTGAACGGCATTTTCAATATAAATATCTCTAATTATTATAAGAAATCGTTTAAATTAGAAAACTTTTCGTTCAATTCTCCGCTCGAAGGCGTCATTAATATGAAGACTGAACTAACGGTTGAACACAACTACTATAAGGAGGGCCTTCTCGATGTTTGCGACGCCTCTGGCATCCGATGGAACCTTCGATGGGTTGTCCTTAAAGGCCATCAATTGGGGTTCTGGCGGTTCCCCGAAGACGTGGCCTCCAAATCAGCGCTCGGCTCCATAAACCTCGAGGAGTGTATTAATCCGATTGTAGGAGTCGTTCGCCAGACCTCAATGCGTCCCAACTCTATCGCACTGATAACCGTTGCGAACGCTTCCGAAGGCGAATCCATTCCTCCAAACCATCTCAAAAAGTAAGTGTTTTTGCTTTTAAATCATTTAACGTTTATTTTAATGAATTGTTTTTTTTAATGATTTGCAGACATTTGATGAGCGCTGAAAATAAGGAGGTGAGCCAAGAGTGGGCCCAACATATCAGCCGCGCTCTCAATGGGATCCGTATTTGGAACTCAGACACAGTAAAACCCTATCGTATCGAAGAGTTTGATGAACTTCTTATTGCTTTGGATTAAATTTTATATCATTTTATTTGTTTTTAATGTCGTATTCACTCACAAAACATTTCACACAATTTATATTTATTGGATATTTTTATTTCAGTTTATTTTATATAAAGAAATTTATAAATATTGTATTTTCAAACATATATTTTTCAATCGTTACACAAATTCAACAAAAGTCACAAATAAAAAGTTTTTATTTATAAGTNGAGAGAGAGAGAGAGAGAGAGAGAGAGAGAGAGAGGCACCGGTAGGCATATATGCCCGGTGTGCTCATCATTATCACCCCATACACTGGCCGATCATCTATATAGAGGTCAGTGACCATAACCACCGGCGAGTGCCCCACAACAACACACACCCCATAACTAACTTATATAAATGATTAAACACTTTATTCACTCATATAATGCTATCTAATTCGGCATCAATTGTTACCATAAGGTTATTGTTGGGCAACAAAATAATGAAAAATGATCAACTAGATGAAAAAAAATATTATCGAGATTATCATCGGTACGTTATCTTAATCAATCAATAGTGTATATACTGTAGAGTGAATATAATTAATTGTTTCGTACACTAAAGCAGAATTTGATTGTAATTATAAATGCATTTATGTTTAAATCAAAGTCTATTTGATTGCAACACTTATTTGTCACTTAATATTATAACTATCTATGGAGACAATCGCAGGACAATCACCACTCAGTCCTAACAGCCCTAACCGGGCGTTCAGGCGTAGGGCTACAGGTGCTGATATACCAGGGGCTGTAATGTTAGTGCCCCTACAGTTAGAAAGAGAAAAAAGAGGTGGGTGCGATTTATTGCCCTCTAACAACAAATTTATTTTAATTTTATTTCAACCATTTTTCTCTTACTTTTTGGTGAATAAATGTTATAAAAATATTTTTTATGAGATAACAGCAAATTTCTCATAAAAAATATTTTTATAACATTTATTCACCAAAAAGTAAGAGAAAAATGGTTGAAATAAAATTAAAATAAATTTGTTGTTAGAGGGCAATAAATCGCACCCACCTCTTTTTTCTCTTTCTAACTGTAGGGGCACTAACATTACAGCCCCTGGTATATCAGCACCTGTAGCCCTACGCCTGAACGCCCGGTTAGGGCTGTTAGGACTGAGTGGTGATTGTCCTGCGATTGTCTCCATAGATAGTTATAATATTAAGTGACAAATAAGTGTTGCAATCAAATAGACTTTGATTTAAACATAAATGCATTTATAATTACAATCAAATTCTGCTTTAGTGTACGAAACAATTAATTATATTCACTCTACAGTATATACACTATTGATTGATTAAGATAACGTACCGATGATAATCTCGATAATATTTTTTTTCATCTAGTTGATCATTTTTCATTATTTTGTTGCCCAACAATAACCTTATGGTAACAATTGATGCCGAATTAGATAGCATTATATGAGTGAATAAAGTGTTTAATCATTTATATAAGTTAGTTATGGGGTGTGTGTTGTTGTGGGGCACTCGCCGGTGGTTATGGTCACTGACCTCTATATAGATGATCGGCCAGTGTATGGGGTGATAATGATGAGCACACCGGGCATATATGCCTACCGGTGCCTCTCTCTCTCTCTCTCTCTCTCTCTCTCTCTCTCGGGTTGTTGTTGTTATTTCTCTCTCAGAGACCAATGCACTGAAAAAATAATAATTTATAACAACAAAAAATTTTATTTACTATTTTTTGTTTAAAAATAAATTTTTATAATATTATGAATAATTATATGTTTACTAATTATTAGTTATAAATGTGCTGTTAGTTTTTTTTGTGAGTAAAGTATAAGTTATATAACGTTATTCTGTTTGTCATTGCATACGATATACGATATATTCGTTGGTATTTATAATGAATTAAAAAGATTTTTAGTGAAAGTTTGAAAGATTTTTTTTTGAAAAGCAATTAATTCGCCAAAAGGTTTGCGTTATTATTGATCATAATTTTTGATATGAATTATGTTTACGAAAAGTATTATATAAAATATTATTGCCATTGAATTAATGATCGCATGGAGTTGTTAGTGAACTCACTCACACACACACATGCATTTATATACAGTATATTTGTATGTATACCCAGGGTATAAGTGCTGGGCATACCGGCCCCCAACCCCTATACCTACCCGTTCGCACAAGTCATACACGAAATTCCGTGATTCACAATATTATATACATATCTATCTCTTATTCTGTCTCTAATAAAGTGTATTCAAAAACAAAAGTCATTTACATTTCATTCAATATGTGATCACTTGTTATCTCAATATATATTTCTCTCTCAAATTGACTTTCAATTTCCATATCATATCTCTTTCGTTAAGAATATACAGTATATCTTATTTCAGTC